CTGTATAATAAGAGGTTTAAAGATTTCATTTTCAAAAGTGTTTTATCAAGGTCTTACGATATATTACATGGCACTGTATCATATAATAGTTATGCCATAAGAAATAATAGCTAAATCAATATTTCTCAAATTTGAATAAAATTATTTATATTTAAACTTCTCATAGAAAAAAATGAATTAACTATATAATACTAAAACAATAGTCTTACAAAGAATTCAGCATAGACTTACTTTCAACACTTTCATCTTTAACAATAAGATCTGCCATTTTGACCATCTTATATTTATCCAAAACAAAATTAGGGTCTGCTGATGTAAGTTGTTGATATAAATATTTGGCTTCTTCTAATTTATTATTACTCAAATATAAATCAATTAAAAATACAAGTGATCCTGTTGGTATGTTAAATCCTTCTGCATCCAATTTCTATCATTGATTAAATGAAAAAATTAATTTTAATTAAGACTATAAAAGATATGAGTAAATATTTTTACTATACTTCTTTTAAGGCAATAGCTTTTTCCAAATTTTTATTTTTACAGTACAAATTAAACAACTGTCTTTTAGCACCATTTTTTGTTTCACCACTTGACTCTCCTTTTTTAATAATATTTTCTAATGTTTTTTCATCCTAAAAATTTGAATTTGATTAATTTAAAACAATATTTTTAATTTTTATTAATTAATATATAAAACTTAGTTATACAAATATTATAACTTTACCCATGAAAGTATTTATTTAAAAAATCCTGAGGTCTTAATCAAAATTATTCACAGACATTAACATCTATAAATAATTGAACCAAAATCTTAATTTTTAAATTTAATTCAAAAATTAAATAGAAGGCTAGGTTTGTTGAAGAATTATCATTTATTAAAACAATTATAAATCTCAAGTTTTAATTTGATTCTTTAATTTTTAAGACAATTATTAGCAATTAAAAATGTATAAGTTCTCTAAATATGTAATAAAATAATTATTTTTAAACTTTAAATAAATTATTTTTGATTAAACGTTTAAATAGTAAAGTTATGGTTTGGTTCAATCTTAAATAAAATGAGTCATTCATAATTTGGAAAAATCCATAAGTTTGAAACTTACATAATGATTAAATAAATTTATAAATATATATAGAAATTCACTACAAGTCAAAAAGTTTTAAGCATTTTAGTCAAGTAAAATTAAATAGTTGAACAGAAATTTAAATTATTTTCATAAGTATTCATACTATTTTACCCTATTATTTATTATTTTTCAAACTGAAACTGGTCTTGATAATTTTTTTTGTTTTAAATAAAATATTATTATAAAAGATGTAAATTCAAAACTATTTTTCTTAAAGTGAAACTAAAACATCTTACTTAATATGGCCTTGACTACTTTTTAATCTTTTTACTAGACTTACCACGTTTGCCAATGTATATCCACCAGGTTTAACATCAAGCTCAACTTTACGAGTTAAAGATGAATCAGTTAAATTTTCCAATAAGTTAGAAATTTCAAACGTGAGCTTGCTTTGTAAATGTTGTTGAATCTGTTCTGCAGAACGAGAACTTAAACCCAAACCTTTTTCATATAATGCCTGCATTTAATTAAACATGATAAAATATTGTCATCATTCTAGTCAAATAGTCACATGAAATATACCTCCAGTAATTCTTGAGTAATTTGTGTAGCCCCTGAGCTTTTCTGTAGTTTATTCACTATATTACTAACTACCTGACCAATAAATTCTTTCATTTCAATTATTTGTTCCTCAGTATCAGAACTTGGAACAAATTTATCATTTGAATATTTTGCTGATTCTGGTGAAGTAACTAATGACAAACGTGAGAAGCCATTACATATTTGTTGAAGTATCACAACTAAGGATTTTATATCATTTCCAGACAAAAATGCATTAACTAATGGCTGACGGATTATATTTGGTAAGTAGAAAGCTCTGTGGGTAGCAGCTAAAATTATACACAAATATATAAATATATTATTTTGCAATACATTAAGAAAAAATTATTACCTATATCAGCTGCTTGGCGAATTTCATTATTTGATAATAAGTATAGAACTAAAGCATGAGTGCTAGTACCCGAAGGAATACCTACTAACTGTAAGTTACTTATGATTTGGACTCCACTTAGATTATTTTTAAATAATAAAGGTAAAACATAGTGCCTAAGGGTATCAATATTTGGAGATAAATTATAAGAATTTATCATTATTGATAACAAATCATTTAACCCTGAAATATAATAATAAATACTGAATACTTTAATTTATACTATGTCAATTATATATATTGATTAAATGTATATTTAATACATTAAAAAATGTAAAGGTTATTTAATAATATATTACCATTCAAATCATTTTGTTTGTTTTTAGATACTAATAAGGGCCAGAAATAATGTTGTCTCAATGATTGCTCTTTTTGCTTCATATATTCAAATAATCCTAACGCTATATTAACAGAACCATTCTTTAATGCCATTTCAGTAGCATACTCAAAAGCTCTTGGATTAGATCCTTCATCCACAAGTTTTTGACAAAAATTAATTATTTTGTTTACGGGCTAAAAATAATATTTAAAATAATTTTTTTTATCATAAATACTGAAATAATTAATAACTTACACAGTTGATTTTAGTTAAATGTGCAATAAAAAATCGTCCAATTGATGGTGATCCTTCAATGTTAGTAGGTTTTTTCATTGACTCAAATACTTTAATAGCACATTCAATTTCACCAGCTGTAATTAACTTATATATACAGTTTATAGCATCTTGATTATAACCTGTTGTTTTATGCATTTGATTCAAAATCTAAAAAAAAAATTTATATTAAATCCTTGTATATTAATAATATTATACTGCTGACCACCATAATATACCTCATCTATTTTATCTCTGTGACCATTTACAGCCAATGAATGTACAATATCAAAATAATCATTATGTGTCAAATAAACATCATGATTTTTACAACTACTTAAAATCTCATGAACTTTTTCAATATCTCCTTTTTTAGCAAAGCCAGATGCTAATAATGAATATGTTTCAGAAGATGGCTCAAGTTTGGATTCTTTCATAATGTTGAGTACATCTTGTGCACTATCCATGTCCCTATAAAATAAATCAATATTTTTAAGGTCTTTTATATAGAACATATTATAACATAATATGTAAACCTGATAGCATAATCATCTTTTTATTCTGAAAACTATCATTAAACTTAAGATGTAATAAATAATTATGTACCCATTTTGTGAATGTCCCAAAACCAATGCATTAAATACTACTTGATTAATTGGAAGTTGTTTATCACGCATGTATTCTAGTATGCGACTTGCACCTTCAATATCACCTTTTTTACAAAAAGCAGTTACTAAATGTTGATAAGTAACACGATTTGGTACTATTCCTTTGCTATTTAAGTCTTCTATAAAATCTGTAGGTGAAAACTGATAATCGTTTTCCAAATATACTTTTAATAATGTATTGTAGTGACTTATATCCATTGGAACATCTGAAATATCATATAGAATATTTAAATATATGATTATTAACTTGGCTGCATTTAAGGAGGTACTAAAAAAAAACTATCCAACTATGTGAATTATAAAGTTGAAAACTTTTGTTTTTTTTCTGCTCATTCAAATTAAAAAGGTCATTGGGGGTAGTAGAATTTATTATCTTAAGCAGAATAATTCCTAAAAGTGTCTCTGGCTACTATTTGATAAATCAAACATACCTAAATTATTCAATGTTGTCCATATTTTTTGCACTAACTTTGTTCGATTTTCAGGTAATTCATCTGGTAATAAAGTTCCACAGCATCTTATAATAAGTAATGACTGAGAAGATGTTGCTGATTCTATGAGAAAAAATGTTAAATTTACACAAATTTTAGTAAATTTAGAAAAATTATAAACCTACTGTTTTCTTCTATTTCTTTAAGAATGCTTTCTAGTTCACGTTTAGATATACGACCAAATTTACGGACATCTTCATCAAGTTTTTTTATTTGTTTATCAACATTTTTCACGGAAGTCGAATGATGAATTGTAGATGAGAAAAATGATCTACTTAAAAGTAAATTACACAGTTTCAATCTACCAATTTATTAGTTAAATATAATAAACTATCAATTAATTACCGGCTTGGAAGTAAGTTGTTATTGTAATGAGTAGTAATTCCAGTGAATTTTTCATTTTGTGGTTTTTGAGACCCATTAGAATTATTAGAGGATGTAATTAAAGTGTTACTAATCCGATGGCGACTTAAAACAAAAGCGGTACGTATTTGCTTGGAGCATTGCATTAAGATAGACATGATTTACCAAGAAGCAAAATATCAATGTTCCGAATAATGTTTATAAAAAACAGTAAAACTTAAAAATATAAATTACTTTAAAGGTAACTAAGTTAGTTACAAAAGCTACAGCAATATTTTTCCGAGTAGGGCGCTCAGTAAAATTAATTTATATAACCTTAAAAATTCAATAGGATTAAAGACATGAAAAATTAATGAAATACCATGGTATATAAACCGATTAACTTTATCATTTTGAAATGTAATCAACCGGTTAACGTTAAGGATAACTGTTATCACTAAGGTAAATAATAGCTGAAAATACAGTTTTAATGATTTCACATGAAGTTTGTATTAATACTTATTAAGAGCTTGTATTAATAAAATAAAATATTAAATCAATTTTTTTTTTTCTGATTAAATAAAATGACCTAGTTTTTTTTTTATGAATATTATTGTTAGCTATAGATAATGTGTTATATGTGTACAAATTTTGTTGGTTTTAATGTATGTAAAATAACCTATCTATTAAACTCTTACTAACGTTTACTATGGTAATTTACTTAAGAATCATATTGAAGTTAATTATTATTTTATTGTATATATTTCTTGTTTTTTAAACATTTAAATTTAAATTTTTGTTTTAAGACTACAAAAAAAAATAAAGGTGGCATTGGAGCAAATGTTCGATTCCAGCCATCTGATCACAGACAATCAAGAAAATCACAAGCTGAATTTGATTCATCTTCTAATCGTCGTCCCTTAATTCCAGCTGTTTTAACTGCATCTCTTATAGCTATTATTTGTTCATTATGTTACCGAGGTTACTTAGACACTCATTATGCGGTAAATTCTCCATTTCGAGGACCAAAAGTATGCACATTTTTCGTTTTTCAACATATAATCAAGGTTTATTTATAATCAATATATTTGTAGGTTACAAAAAAAGATTCAGATCCAGTGCTATGGGGAACCTTTAGACCTGGTCAATATTTAGGCCTTAGAACCAAAGAACCTAAAGATTTAGGATCTGTGAATGCAGGATTAATGTGGTATAACAGTGATGAATTGTTGAGTAAAGGTCCTAATGTAATTCGATACGATTGTGAAAATAGAGGTGACATAAAATATGGATATATTGAACATGATACTTGTAATTATGGTTTACAAGTTATAGAAGAATTAAATGAAATTTCTGGTGAAGTCAAATTTAGAATAAATACAACATTTCTAAGACCCGATCATAATAATAAAAAAGACTGGACAGTAAGAGTTAATTATGAAAAAAAAAAATTTAATAATGTAAGAGTAATTTTTAAGTGAAATCTATTAACATTTATTCATTATTTATTCATGGTATTTATATATATATATAGGATGCTATATCATTTATATGGTATACTATAATTGATCCAGGAGATGAAAATGCAAAATCACTAAGTACTGATGATTACGAATTACAATTAAAAAAACTATTATCAGGACATGTTTTAGCTAAAATAAATGGTCGAACTCCTAGTTTAGGAGATTTTAAAATGTCTGTCATATTTGATAATGAAAACATAAATGATTTAAAATCTTCCATTCATCTAAGCGTTGGTCGAACACAATGTAATTCTATGGCTGATTTAAAAAAATGTCTTATACAAGGCTTAATGGCAGTTGAAAATCAAAAATATAATCAAGTACATCAGGTAGTATTAACTGAAAAAAATGAATCAAATGATATGAAGAATTTGGTGGCTATTCAAATAACGTTATATTCTCAAACTGGTAGTTTTGATATTGTTTATCAACAAAATCACAACTTAAATCCATTTTTAACTGGAAAGAAATTTACAGAAATAGCTTCATTGTATAGTATGAAATTTTATGAAAAATTTAATCGTGTTTTTAAATTGGAAAATTATCCTCAAGAGTATATTCTATTTGCTCGTTCAACATTTAGTCAAATGGCTGGTAGTATTGGTTATTTTTATGGTAACAGTTTAGTCAAAGATGAAGAATTGTCTAAATCAAATGATGATTCTGCAATTCTACGTTATTGGAAATCACCATTATTAACATCTGTTCCTAGTAGATCTCAGTTTCCTCGGGGGTTTTTGTGGGATGATGGTTTCCATGGGTTATTGTTATCTAAATGGAGTACAGATTTAGAGCTAGATATAGTTAGTCATTGGCTTGATACAATGAATTGTCGTGGTTGGATACCAAGAGAACAGGTATAAATAAAATGAAATTGCTTGTTATTCAAATAAAAGTACTGATGTGTATGTTATTATTTCATTTTTAGATATTAGGATCTGAAGCAAGAGCAAGAGTGCCTAGTGAGTTCATTGTACAAAGCTCAACAGCTGCAAATCCACCAGCTCTTCTTTTAACAATAGAGTCTATTTTGGATAAATTAGAAGATAGAGGTCGATTTAGAGAAGAAAATTATCTAAAACACAGAGAAGTATTGAATAGAATGTGGCCACGGTTACGTGCATGGTATTCTTATTTTAATGACACTCAAGGAGCTCATAAGTATTCAAATAATGAATTTTTAGGTTATAAATGGTATGGGCGTGATACAAATTCACCATATGAATTAAATCCAAAAACTTTAACAAGTGGTATGGATGATTACCCTAGATCATCAAACCCAGAAAATTCTAAATTTTCAAATGATAAAAAATTAAAATTTCTAGAATTTGAAAGACATTTAGATTTGTTTTGTTGGATGTCACGTGCAACACGTATAATGTACAGATTAGGAACATATTTAAATTTAGAAAATAAAGAAGATCTAGAAGCCATTGAAAACTATAGAGAATTTTACCAAATATTAGTTTCTAATTTAGATCGTTTACATTGGGCTGACAGTAGTTCAATTTATGCAGACTATGGGTTACACACTGATAAAGTCGAATTAAGACGGACACAAACAAAACATGGAACCTTTGAATTTAAGAGATTTGTATTAGAGGAACCTAAATGGATGTATGTAGATAAACACCCTGGCTATAACAGCTTATTTCCACTATTAATGAGAATTGTTCCATCAAAGAAAAAACTAAATGCAATTTTAGATCTAATTGAAAGTGATTTACTAACAGAGAGTTGTGGTTTAAGATCATTAAGTAAAAGATCTAACATGTATAACAAATACAATACAGAACATGACCCACCATATTGGAGGGGCCAAGTTTGGATTAATATTAATTTCTTAACACTTGGCTCTCTTAATTATTACATGGGAGAAAATAGTAATATTTTTGATTTAGATGATTCCATTGATATAGATAAAGAAACACGTTTAAGATGTCGTGAATTATACAATAAGTTAAAGAATGATGTAGTAAATTGTATTTTCCAAGAATGGAAACGGACAGGCTATGTGTGGGAAAGGTATAGTGATAATTTAGAAGAAGTTTGGGAAGTAAATAAAGAGAATAATGGAAAGCAAAAACGTAAATTAGTTCACAAAGGTATTGGAACTAGACCTTTTACTGGATGGTCAGCAACCGTTGTACTTATGATGGCTGAACTTTATTAAATTCAGTTACTTCATTAACAGAATGTTATTTTTTTGTATTACTATTTTAATCAGAAATAAATTCTATTTAATACATTTTATTGCCCTAAAATATTATTGTATTTACCTTGATCCATCATAGTATTGGTAGTTAGATGTAAATATATATTATAAATTTTAAGTTTTATGTCTACATATTAAATTTTTTCAATATAACTCAGTTTAAAGTGGTTTATTAAATTTCTTTTACTTCTTAATCATTTTTTTTTTTTTTTTTGGTTAAAATAGGTTTTAATGGTCGGTGGTGCTAAGAAAGGCTGAAAATTGACTTTAAAACGGAATAGAAATAAAATTATTTTTGATAACAAAAATTTTTTTTATTTGTTTTTTAGTTAATTAAATTTTAGTTTTGACTGTACTACTTTATCTTTAAAACTAGTTGTTATTAAAAAAAAATAATAATTAGTTAGAGAATCACATAAAGAAATTACAATGAACTTCACTAGTGCAATTATAGAGTCTTGATTTGTAGTTCTTTAATTTATGAGTATAATATATGAATAAATACTTAGTAATTTATAGTTTTAATTATTGTAATTAAACTTGTAGAATTGTGACATACTTGGGACAAGTATAGATGATATTTAACAGTCATTAAAATCGCTTCAATGCAAATCTTTTGTATTTAATGTTTAAAAGGAATTATTAAATAATTCCAAAAGCGACAAAAAATCCTCTTTTCTTATTTGTATCCTGACTACAAGTTTTATGATTTATACATAAATAAACACTATAGTAATTACATTTAATATGATATTAATATTCAATAATTTAATATTGTAAATTTTACCTAGAAATTGTAAAAANCTACAAGTTTTATGATTTATACATAAACACTATAGTAATTACATTTAATATGATATTAATATTCAATAATTTAATATTGTAAATTTTACCTAGAAATTGTAAAAAGTTATAAAGTAGTTATTTAGTTTGTTACTTCTATGGCAAACGTCTACAAAAATTTAAAGTCTTGTTGCAAAACAGAAAATAATCTACAAGGAATTTTCATCAGTGACAAAATTATACTTTTTTTGTACCAATTTTCGTGCTGATTTCAAATATGCAATTAGATTTTTTCTATCACCTCTAATTTTTAAGATTATTACTAATTAGTAAAAAACAAATATTTACATATAAAAATAAAATCTAGGTTAAAATGAAATTCAACATCACATTAGAGAACAAAATCAAGACTAGGCTCGCAATATTTCTGAATATTATTATATTATAGAATACTGTAAGATATAACTACAGAATAAAATTCTAAATATTTCAGTTGTAGTAGCTTTTTAAGCACCATGATTTACAAAGAAATGATTACTAATATTAAGATTATTTACTTAGATAATAATGTAAAACGGTTATGACAAATTTTATATAATATTTTATGTCTAACTTTTGGAAACCTTTAGATATATTGTAGATAATTCATCGGGACTAATCATTGACCAATTTTTTATTTTAATTCGTCTAATATCAAAATAGTTATCAGTACCAAAATAACAACACGAAAGACAGTGTTTTTTACATAGAAATTTTTTGTTCAATTTAAACGGCTACTTGCTCATAAAAGATTAAGTGACAAATTTTATTTTTAACTTATAGTACATAACATATGATTGAAAGTTGGAGTATATCCGAGACATTATCAAAAGTTAAATTGAAAATTAAAATTGTGTACAAAAGTTTCTATTTTGAATATTCCCCTGTGAAGGTAAAGAAACAGATTAAAAAAAAATTATACTTAACAAAAGAGAATTACTTTAAGTATTTATATCTAAAAAAAATTTTTTGATTCATTCATTTTTAAAAAAAGTGCATTGTAAAGTACACTATGCATTTAAACTTGTCGATTTATATTGGTGTTTTTAACGGTGACGATGCGTCATGAGAGACAATAAAAATGGAGTGTCTTCTTCCACTTATTTCAAGCCACTTATGTCAACACCATTATTCACAAAATTATTTTGCAAAAATTTGTTTTAAATGTGACGAAAAAAATATTTTACTTGGACACATCCAAAATACAAGCGTGCGTACAGAGGCAGCAAAAATTGTTTTTTTAATTTATGAAAACTAAATTGGACCGTTTTCAATTCATATTAAATAGAATTTATTGCAATTTATTTAGAATTTGAAGGAGGATTATCATGAAATAGGTATATACAGGTGATTCATTAAGGATAAGACACTCGTTTACTCAGTAACTATTGAAAATTTAAAATTTTTGGTAAGGAATATATTGTTTGATTCAAAAAACACTACAATAATATGTAGTAAAAACATGATATTTTTCATCCCTTCAAGGTTAAAAAAACATTAACTTGAGTTTTTTTAAATGAGAACACATAATTTGAATTTAATAAAATGTTTGAGTTTTTAATTTAATAATAAATGGCATTTGAATTTTTAATATAACTTTATTTGTTTATTAGATATAAACATTTAAAGTTTCAAATTTTTGAGTTAATATACATATATAATACACAAGAGATTACAAATACAGGTAGCTAATTGGTTTTTTATGACATCGATATTAGCAGGTACACAGCATTGTTATTATCAATGGTAGTAAGGCACATTGTTATGAGTTAATAAATACACTACTGACAATACAGAACGTATATCTATTGATAGTCATAATTGATAATAAACAATCCGTGACTGTGACAGCAATGTCATAAAAAAACAATTAGCTACCTGTATAAAAATACATTCCTAGTGTATTATACATGTATATTAACAAAAAAATTTTAAACTTTAAATGTTTATATCTAATAAACGAATTAAGTTACATATATATATGATTCCTCTCTCCTCGTAACATGACCAAACCATCTTAGTCTATATTTTCTCATCTTATACACGATGACGTTACACCTATACTCCCTTTTATATGTTCGTTCCTTATCCTATCTTCTCTAGTCACTCCACTCATCCATCTAAGCATTCACATCTCTGCTACATTCATTCTTTGCTCTACTTTCTTGTCAACCACAAAAACTTGTGAACCATACTTCATAGCTGGTCTCGCTGCAGTCCTATAAAACTTACCTTTCAACCTCATTGGAATTCTTTTATCGCATAACACACCAGACGCATTTCTCCACTTCAACTACTCGCACTTAATTCTGTGTATATAAGACTATATATATATACTGCTTGTAATGTTTACGGATGTATCTATGTTTGTAGTAATGATATGATGGTTCCAAACTCGTTGCAGAGTCCATCTTCAGAGCGATAGTTACAGGCTCGTGGTTTTAACTAAACTGTGGGTTTTTATATCAGTTGATAACTGATAACATCGATGTTGTTTATCTGTTGTATGTCAGTTTGTTGTTTACATCCGGTTTTTGTTGTTGTTTACGGAATTCTTGGCTTTAGCTCTTCTATGCCGTAAACAATAACAAAAACCGGATGTAAACAACAAACTGACATATACAGGTATAAACTATCGGTTTGGCGAAAACGAAAAACTGACCTTATTCATATTTGGCGGTAACGATAAACCCAACCCACCGCAAATATATCACTGACTAAACGAAATTTGTGGTATATTTACTATCCACAATGTTCAGTAAGTCAAGAAACAGGTCAATTGTTAAATCCATGAGAACAATAGAAACCCGTTTCCTTACTTACTTAACACTTATACAGACTACATATGGTTTGAATATATGTTGGTCATCTTCGCGACATCTTTTGATATGCATTGTTCAAATATCGCTTATTTTTTCCCGCTCGTCGTCAAACAAATACGATATTGGTAACTGGTTAATTAATAACATTTTGTGCATTATTCTTGTTTTTCATTTTAGTGGGCTATACTTGTTTATTAGTGAGAATAAACAGCTCTACGTCAATTTTCAGTCTTGAAATATTGTGTCATATACATTTATTCCGTGTCAGTTTTACAAGGCACCCCTAAAAATATATGTTTATAAGCAGTAAATAAATATATAACATTCAGGGCTATGAATTATATGCTTTTATACATTTTGAAGGGTTCTAAGCTTCTGCAGCTTCAGATTGTATAGTAACGTAGTAATATTTTTTATTTTCTGAGAGGAATTAACCCATGTAATCACATCCAAAACTGAGACATCGGGAAATCACTAATCAGTTTTCAAATCAATGTACTGACTAATGGTGTGTTCAAATTAACTTAACAATATGTTTAAATGTATATAATTCACAGCTCTGATAATATTAATAAATAAAATAAAAAACTTAGTTTATAAATAGTCGGCGTGACTATTTATAAACACCAACGTTTTTAAACTACGAACTTTTATATATATATATATATATATATATATACATATAATAAATATTTCCAGTAATATTTCAAGCAATTTATATGTAACAACAGTTTTATACATTTATTAAGTTCACAATATTGAAAACAATTATTTATATTTTTAATTTTTAAATTAAAAGTTTTTGCAGTGCATAACCAATTAAATTATAATATATATATATATATATATAATCTCAAATAAAATGTCAAAAAAAATTTTAAACTAAATAATAAAATTATTTAGTTTTATTTATGTATTAAAATAAATAAAATAGAACAAACATTTTTGCTAAAGAATGAACAAAAAAGAATAACTTTAATACAGTAAAGTAGTGCTTGAATAATTTGTATTAATGATTGACTAAGCGGACATAATAAACAACTTACATTTTATAAATGCAATATATTTACAATACTAATAGGCAATAAATAAGTAATAGAAAAATAGCGCGACCGGACGGTCTATTAATAGAAAACATTTTAGTATATTTGAGCGACAAATTTAAACAACTGTTTTCAGCAGACGGAACAAATATTTTCCAAACGGCAACAAATTCAAGTTATAAATGAGTTAATAGGAAAACTGGCAACGTGTGGAATTCATAAGGTTTAAGAATTATTTCAATGATCTGTCCCTTTTAATTATTCAGACTTAAGACAGCAACGTTGCAATTTGCTTATAAACTTATTTCTAACCCACGGGACGCAAAACACAACTGAGTTTGGGCACCGAGATACGTTCTCCCATGCAGTGTAATCATTATACTACACATTATTGACACTTCAATTTTGTTCATCCGATTATTTTAATAAGTCGCTCTTATTACTTCGCTCTATTGACTTCAGTATTCATTTCCTCAAATTAGAGAAATTTAATGGTCAATGATATTTTTTTGTAATATTTCACGTAATTTTTAATCAACAGTTTTATATATTTATAAATTTCACAACCTAAAAAATTTTTAATACTTAATTTTAAAAAGATTGGAGTGTATAAACAATTTTAAACAGCCCTCTGCAAATTTAAAGTGCTTAGACAATAGGCTCCCATAAATAATTAGAAGCGCATTTTAATAGTAATAAGCAAAACCTACAAAATTTCTAGGTTGAGTTTAATATTTAATATTATCAACATACGATCGAGTAATTGAGTGTATCGTAATACGATTATGTTAGCTAGGATGTGCTACTATAACTGATTGATTTTGAAAAATGCCTAATTTGTTATCTCACTCCGTCTTATCTATTTAAAAATTATTTAAAGGGGGCCAATCCTTTAATACAAATTTTTTTTTTATATATATTATTTGTACTTTTGGAGTGTTTTTGTAAAAGTAAATATTATTTAATTAAATAAACATTACAATAACAATATTATTTATTTTATGAAAATTAAAAATTTGTCAATAGATTTCAAGAAAACAAGTGTCTTATTCTTAATCGATAATAATGTATTTCATATAGTTGAGCAAATATAAAATTTGTATTTATTTGTCACAAAGTAAATAAAAAAATAAAATTGATTATACTTTATGAGTACTTAAGATATGTACACATGGAAATAATAAAATAATACATAAGAGTACTGAAGTTATAATAGTTCATTTGTGGCGGTTGCACTATGTCCGGCAGTTTTGTTCGGCTAATCTTGTATAAATATATATAGTCATTACCGAGTATAGGGTTCAAATAAGTTGTGCTATTATACCGGCCCATCTGTGTTCTACTATAATATCTTAAAAACGGCGACAAATTCATTGATTATTTTCAATTCGATGGACAGATATTTGAGAAATTATATGCTGAAGTCGGATCAAACCTATTAGTAAGAACGACAAATAAAAATAAAAGAAAAATCAATGAGCAAACTGGCAACGTGGTATTGTTAAGCGTAAAGAACTATTTTAACGCTCTCCCCTTTGTAATAACACAGACTTATGAAGCAACGTTGTCAGTTTGATGAGTAAGATTCTATCTTGCCATTCGGCCGCCAAGTCACGTTCTCTTATGCAATATATGATATTCATTGTACTACACATTATTAACACTTAAATTTTACTCATCCGATTATTTGAATTTATCGCTCTTACTACTTGCCTTGATTGACTACTGTATTCATTTTGTCAAATATCTTTCCATCGAATTAATTAAATAATCGATGAATTTGTTGCCAATTAGATATGTAAATTTTAATTTAGTGCTCTAATATATTAATGACAATTTTTTTCATTAGACGTTTTACAACCGCGCATTTCCATCTGACTGAGTATTAAAATACTAATAATTTTCGAAGTACTGGTCCAATTGTAATTATCGACCAGTCATTATTTAAATTAAAATATTTTCTATTTTTTAAGTAAGTTAAAAATGTATGTTGCCATCAAAAAAAATAAAGTGTACCCTTATAAGTGATAAAGGACGAACTAAAAAGTATTTAACCATTTATAAATTGAGAGATAAATAGTACTCAACAAAGCCAAAAAAATATTTCTAAAATTATAACTTAGGAGAAATTTAGTGGTCAATGATAAATCAATCACTTTATAAAGCTAATTAAATTACATTTAAAAAATAATTTTAATAATATTTCATGCAATTGTTATGTAACAGTTTTATACATTTATTAAGTTTACAATTTTGTATATTTATATAATTACGTATATTCTTAAATTTTAAATTAAAAAATATTATAGTGCGTAACCGATTTAATTAATATAAATTACAACATATTTTTAGTTTTAAATAAAATGTAATAAGAAAATTTTGAACTTCTATATCAAATATAACTAACATTATTGCAAAAAAAAGAACAAAAAATAATAACTTTAATGTAATTAAAGTGATGCTTGAATAATTTGTACTTGTATTTGTATTTGTAATAAGAATTGTGAAACCCGTCATAATATACATTTTATAAATGTAATGTATTTTCAATACTAATGGGCGATAAAGAACGAATAGCAGAATGGTCTATTAATAATCAATTTAGTTTATGTGAGGGACAAATTCCAACAACCGTTTTCAGTAGATGCACAAAATATTTTTAAACGGCGATAAATTCATTGATTAATATCAATTCGATGGACAGACATTTAGGAAAATTAATACTGAAGTCAATCGAGCCACAAGTAATAAAAGCGATAAATAAGTAATCTGGCAACGTGGTGTTCATAAGCATTATGAACGTTTTTAACGCACTGTCCCTGCAGACTCTCAAAGCAACGTTGCCAGTTTGCTTAAGAACTTATTGTTATACTGCAGACTACGCAACTGAGTGACTATTGAACAAGACAGGATCATTCTATCTAACCATTTGCCCGTCAAATTGCGTTCTCTCATACATTGTGTTAACTGTACTATACCTTTATGATACTTTGTTCGGCCGGTTATTTGTGTTTGTCGCTCTTACTACTTGACTCGATTGACTTTAGTATTAATTTTTTAAAATAGCTGTCCATCGATTTAAAAATAATCAATGAATTTGTTGCCAATTTGTTATGTAGTTTTCAATTTATTGCTCTAGTGTATTAATGAATCAGGTGTGATAATTGTTATTATTTAACTTTATTTAACGACTACACACTTTCACTTGTCAGCTATAAAAACTTGCTAATTTTCGAATTACTAGTCTAAAAGTTGTTATGGACCGGTCATTTTCTTAATAAGATTATTTTCTTTTTTAAAAACTAGTTCAATATATTTTGTCATTAAAAAGAAATAAAGTTAAGAAAGGGATAGGGGTGAACCTAAAAAATATTTAATCACTACTAAAAAAAAAAAATTTTCAAGATTATTATTTTAGGATAAATTTAAAGGGCAATGATAAATCAATTAATCTGCTAATTCTAATATAATACCCTAAAGCTATTTAATAATATTATAGTAAAATTTTATACAAATTTTATTTAGAATTTTTATAAATTTATGAAGTTTGAAACTTTGTTCAAAATAATATTTTTTTAATTTAAATTTAAAAGTTAAACAACATTTATTGGAGTGTATGGCCGATTGTAAGCAGTTTCTGAAAATTAAAGTATACACGAGGCGTAGATAATTTATGGTAAAAGGGTGGAATAAAAACATAAACCTCCTTCCTAATATTTTTAATTTAATTTGATCTGTTACGAACAGATAATTTGTCCTTCACCAACATTAACAATTAACAACTATATTAGCACAAACGTCCCTACAGCTCAACTATGAGTGCGGATGTAAACAAACCGATTACACTTGAATTTCTTTAAAACATAAAGATAGTCGACATTCTACTAGGCTCGCGGCAACTTACCTTTATAGATCTGTTAACTTAACTCGTACAGTATTATTGTGATTACTAAAATAAATACTATTATTGTTTTACTTATTATTATTATTTCGGGTTGTGTACACTCGCCGTCGTCGTTCACCTAACTTGGATACCACTAACACCTCTAGAGATCCAGTCAGGTTATATTTTAAATAATATTAAATAAAAATAAATGCTTGTTATCGTTGTTAGTTGAAAGTCAATATTTATTTGGTCACGAAACCGCTAACTGCCTTTTTAGTGGTCTATAAATTATATAGGGCCAGCGTACTAGACTGTCATAACGCATTCACCCCACTCCACTCCTCGCTCATCACACGCCGGCAATACTATTCCTGTATAAATTTATTTTTGGTTATCGTACCCGTACACATGTGCGTGTCATCAATATTATATATATATAAACAAATTTTTATTTTGACTGACCATTAGTGATGGTAAACTGCTATTTTTTTTTTAACATCTGCTAATGCTATTGCTATTTTAAAATAGCAGTAAAAAGTAGCAGCTATTGCTATTTCGTAAAAACAGCTCGTAGCATAATGCTTATCATTAATTTTTAGTTATTAGCAGCTAATGTTTATAATTGATAGATTGATTGGGTTGGGTTGGGTTGGGTCAATTGTTTTAAACAATGGGAACATTATAAACATTAGTGAACACTTTGTATATTACTCTTTAGTCGGTAGAAAAAAACGAAACTAGGAGATTTAGGACCGTGTAAATAAAGACTACTAATCTAAACTTAAAATAATAACATATTATTGAAAACGTGTACATTTGATTATATTTAAGTAATACATTGGCACGTCCGGCAGTAACGGTCNTTGGCACGTCCGGTAGTAACGGTCAGACCCGTTCGGATTTTACAATGTTCACACAGATAGATAATAGCCGCCCGATAAAGATACACATAATTAACATAAGACCGATGATAAAGATTACAACAAAATTGTAATTTTATACTAATCAAAATAGAAATTACAATCGTTGAGAACGGCAATTTTTTNGTTTATGGCCTTGAGACTAGACTGTCATAACGCATTCACACGTTTTGTATTATAACAAACTAAGTGTTCCAAAAGAATACACAAAGGACACTTTCGTCATCTGGCGTTATAAAAACAAGCATAGATTAAATACACATAGATAGGCCACGACATTCAGACAATTGGCAACCGATTTTTTGTTAATTTATACATGTAAAGATAGCGCTATATATCCTCTCGGAAATATTAAATATTTAATAATAACTGTCTAGTTTGCTGATATTCAAGTAATAGTCACGATTATTGATGTACGGCTAACACCGTTAGCGCAAATTAAGATAAGAACCAGTTATTACTAAAAGGCGATTGCTATTTGATTTAAATGAAACTTTTAGTTTTAATTACAAATTCGATAAAACATGTGTTTTTTATTTTATTAATATTGATTTAAATTTGACTATTATTTATTTTTCTTAATTTTCTCTGTTGAAAATCTTAACTTAT